AGAAGTAAATTATGCATATATGCATTTGTCCAGATAGTTTTTTGCCAGCTAATTCAAATAAGACCTTAGAAAATCTCAATTCTCTTTTGATTTGGTCCTGCTGCTGCACTTCAGTTGCAACATGGCTGCTGCCCTGCTGCAGTGCTGAAAATCCCAATCTACAGCCACTCCCTTCCACACATGCACCACAGCTGGGACTAATGGGCAGCAAAACTATTAGACAGCAAATAAGTGACAGGAATCAATCGGACAATCTGGCCCCCTTTTGGGAACATTTGCTGATACCATGCGCATGATTTGCTTCTCCAGTTGGTCCCATTATTGCACAGCTGTTACTGCAGGAAATGCACTCCAAGCCGAGCTGTTTTGACCTAGAGTTTATCATATTTGAATATGAGTCATCGACTGCAAAGTAATGCATTATCTAGAGAAGTAAGTTAGAAAATAAGAATATAACTAACTCTTCAATAAGTATTTATTTTAGGTTTATTTTTTAAATCAGTCAGATGGTATAATAATATGGGCCTTTTGGTAAGCCTCAAGCCCTAAAAAGCTCAAATTTATGTGTGTGAATATATAGATATATATGATATGTATAGACCAGCTGCCGATTTCTGTTCAATTTGGTGATGGTTAGTAGTCTGAGGGATAGGGATGGGGATAGGTTTGCAATCCCTTTGCCATTAGTACCTCCTAAACTACATGAACAAATGTATTGGAAAGACAAATGACTTCTTGGTGATTCCGAGCAATTGAATTAATCACTGGTAAGCAAATTCGTTGGAAGTTTAATGTGGTCCACCAGTTGGCAGGTTTTTGGTGGAGCTTTCATACACGTACAACTGGTCTTTGTCTTGGATCTTGAAAATGTTTCACCACTCATTCAAAAGACTTCTTTGGTTGAATTGAAAAAGATCCAAAACGTCTAAAATAATCTACATCAACATATGACCTAATGTCTGATTAATTTAAAATCCAAAAGAAACACTTAAGTCTATTTCTTTAAAAAAGACGGGTTCATTCAACAACATCAGACTCATTTGAATAACCATCCAAATACAGAGGTAGTTTGGTATGAATCTCAAGATGTTAGCAGTTGTTGACCACAATGGAACACATAGAAAATCAGAAGGTCATTAACATCAGTGATAAAGAAACAAACCTTATTACATAAAAGCTATTAAAGACAGCTTTTGAGACAAAATTACTTACCAGAATTGTTTTGCTCCATTTCTTTGCTCATTGTTTTTCTAATTCTGAGCCTGCACAGCCTTTCTCGTCTCAAAAGAATATACTGTAGGTGTCATCTTATTTCCCTAAGTGAAACTTACTTGTGAGGATAAGTAACTGAAACATAAATTCTGAAGTAACCTGGGAGAAGGAGAGGGTGTCTCTGAGGATCCCTGTCACTAATCGTATAGCAGCCAGAATAAAACAGAATATCATACTTCTGACATTCAATATAAACAAACTAGATGCAGTATGTGGTAAAATCCTCAGGGGGTGATTTAAAGGGATTTAAAAGGAGGTCACAGTTCCTGGACACATGAAAGTAAGGTATGTCTGTGCCTTTTATGAGCAGACAAGGTAATAAGACTGAACTGATCAAAAAGCCCAGGGTTTAGTCATAGGAGTGTTGAGCTTCTTTTCAAAAGAGTCTTCTTTGTCCAATAAAAGATCTACAAAAATGTTGAACAACCTGAAAAGTAGACTGATTTGTTGAGTGCACTTTTCTACCACCTTGCCTTTTTGTTTTATTTAGCTGTCATTTATAAAAGAAAATATTCCTTTGTTTTGTTGTGTAAATGGAACTGAGGTGAAATGCTCAAAGCAACCATTTTCATCTCTACAGCATTTGACTTTTTTGTGTGTTTTTGATAGCTGGTGGTTAAAATGAAATCTGAAATTATTATCTGCAGACATATACTTAGAAACATTGTCTCTAGTTTTATTTTGATTTTTTCCCCTGCCATTACCATAACATTATCTTTCTTTTCGCAGTTCTGTCTGTTCAGGTTCACTTGTTCTTTATACTGTCTGACCAGCTTTCTCTCAGCACCCATTCACACTCTACACCCAGTCTGTGTCTCTGCTCATTGTTTCTCCAAAGTTTTCTATCACTGTTGACGTATTGAGGTTATCAGATGGAGATTGCGTAATGACTAACAATGGGTGACTGTGAATCAACATACCACAGTGCCGTAAACAAACAAACACATAGAAGGAGAGCCTGTGAGAATGAAAAGTTGGCTTTCTTCATGCATATTTGATTAATATTTTAATATCTTTGTTTATTAGATCCGCTGTCCTCGTGGGTAATTGTGTTTATGTCTTTCATTTCCTTTGATATGATGAATAGAATTGTTGGAAATAAAAGAAAAATGTCCACTATTCCTGATGGGACACTCCTGATGTCTCTATGTTTTCATAATAGGCTAAAACTCCCCTAAACTAACAGAATATTTACAACATTAATACGGTTTGACCAAAACAAAGCCTTTTACTACACTGATGGAACAATCTGGAGGTTTTTATAGCCAGATTAATTTACAGAATGTTCAACTACCACTGCATCTAAAGTTTATTCTGTCACTCAATAATCTGAAGCACTATATCATTTACGCATTGCCGATTAAATTTGATGGGAAAGTAAGAGTTAGGAAATCTAATCCATCTGCCAATCCCAGTTATATTAATGAATAACTTATATGAATCAAGGCCATAGCTTTCCACAGCCATGATCATGTGATCATTTTCCATGAGGTTACAAACATTTCCTCCCAACACATTCACAGTTTTTTTTTCTGTGGCTCCTCTCTGTGGTCCTAGCCTGGATTTCAACATCCATCCATTTAAAAACCTAAAATCTTTTATGTCCTCCAGTGCAGCTCAGCCCTCTTTCAAAGTCAAACTTTTTATCCTCTGCTTTCTGCATGTCTGTTAATTTTGACTCATTCCCTTCAGTAATGCTCTGAGAGCTGCGCTGAGCAGGCTTTTAAGCTCGGGCAAAGGGGAGGGAGAGTCCTTGGCAGCAGATAACACTTGTGCCGATAGCAAGACCAATGTTAGAATCATTATTCCGGCTATTTGAATCTGGCCTCTTGTATACAGGCGTGCCCAAAAGAATTGCAAGCTTGTGACTGCAATTAAAATCCAGAGAGGAAAGTGAAAGCAAGAATTACAAATGCCAGGCAGCTCCTCATTATCACAGACAGCCCAGAAGACGCAGGAGAGTCGATCTGGCATCAAGACACAGGAAGACAGCACAATGCAGATAGAGGCAGAGAAAAAAATAATAAAAGTTACGTTTTAATTTTCGGATGTTAGTCTTTATTCGCATAGGTTATACACAAATAGGTGGTTACTATGGGGACAATTTGGCAGCAGAAATCGAAGTCATTTGCGATGCATTTTGCTTTGGCCGCACCGGCAACAAACAAAGCCTTGAGAATCTGGAGTCTCCAAATTGCCAATCAGTCTGATTAGACACAACATTGTGTTTCCCCAGAAGAGTTTGTCATTATTATATATACTTTGTCACCTCTTGTTTCTTTTTTTTTTTTCAATTCACGGAGCCTCTGATGCGCTGCAGATATTCTGGCTGTCTGCTCCCATTGCTCATCTGTCCATCTTTAATCTCCCCCCGACTCTGTCACCACCTCTTAATACAGTCTCATAAAACTGTCTTTGATCTGCGCCTGAAGGAGCTAAGAGAATTTGAATGAGGGAAACTGATAAGAAAAGAGACAGATAGGACAACAAACAACTATGAGCACCTCAGGTCTGTGTGTAATATGGAGTGTGAGCTGGAGCAAGAACAAATATCTCATTTCAGTGTAAGATGCTAAGGGTTTGCCGCTCGCTCTCTAGGCATTATTTAAACATTGTTTACTGCTCTGGTTTTAATGGCTTGTTGGCCACATCATAAAAAATGACTCGGTATCTGCGACCCTCAGCTCAGCCCATATCTCCCTGTTTCAGAGGGTTGAGCTCTTGCAGGGGTTGAGTCTGAGCACATAAATAGGATTATCATCTGAAACCTACACATACATGCTACAGTGATTTCAGGCAGCCACGCTAAATCATGTGGCAGTCCATGATATAGCCTTCTGAGACGCAGAGGAAGGAAATACACACGGGGACACTAGCGCTTCTGTTAATTTAATGAGAAAATGAAGCCAGTTATATCAGTAAAGCTATTAAATGCCTGTCCAAGCAGGAGGGAAAAGAAGGAGGGATGAGAAGAGGAAGCACTGAGGAACTGTTGGCCAAATAACGGGTCATTACGAAAGGGCGAATGTTGGCAGACGGGGCCACAGTGTGCACTGTGAATTGTTACTGCCCTGCACCTTCAATTTACAAAGGCAGGGGCAAAACAAACAATAAACTCACAGCTAAATAAATAGGTGACTCAATGGACTTCAGCATGTGAACAGTGCTGAACAAGCTGCATTTCAGTGGAGTACCACACTCTGGTTAAGTGCCCAAGGTGAAAACTGCATTAGTGTGTTTTGATCCTGTGCTTCCAGCTTTGGAGCCCAAGAGAGTGTCCAATGATCATTGCAAAGTAGGATGAATACAATTCGCACGCACTCGCCGCCATAGCAGCGACCCTCAAGTTGAATGCCATCATGTGAAACTGACAGTGACATCAGCGTCCAGCGGGAGGACGGCAGAGGAATATACTAAGATGAATTGACAGAAGACCTACGGAGTACTTGAGAGAGAGTCCCTCAAAAGAGGATAAGACAGACAAAAAGGGGTCTTCCAATAATGAGGAGAGAAGAGCGAAATGAAAAAATGGCACAAAACGAACAAAGAGCATACAGACAAAAGCTCAGTAAAGCTTTGCCACGTGAACAGTTTTTCAGGTTTTGTCGTACTGACCGGTGACGGTCAGTCCTCGTTCACAAGGTCTTTCTATTTTCTAAATATGGGAGATGGATTAGTTCAGGAACTTACTCATCTCTGAGTGTACATGTTACAGCCTACAGACCTTAATGACACACGCCCGCACTTGGCTGCCCTGCTTACTGCCTCAGATTCTGTTCCAATTTTGGCTTGCCAGTGTGCTGCAGAGAGTATGTAAGTAAGCAGATGCTGCATTATTAGTCCTCTTAAATTTGGGAGAAGGTTTCACTTTTCAGCACCAGGGGAGTTGGCTTTTTAATTTAATTTGGATTGCAAAGTTGTCGGAACTGAAAACAAAAGCCAGGGATGGAATAATTGTTAGCAAGCATTAAGTTCCACATTTAGCTCGTAGGAGTAAAGTTATAAAACTGACATGATCAGTTTATTTGTGTTGTTGATAAAGAGCTGGAGGGGAAACTTCGAGGTAGTTGGTTTTTTAAAAAGCAATCCAGCACTTTGTGATAACAGATACAACTACTACTCCTACTGTTTCAGTCATTAGTGTTTGTGTACACTCCTTTAACACCACCATCTACACAGACTGGGCTGGAATGTGGAACATCAAATTAAGTATGTAAGTGATCACAGCAAGCAGCCAACCAAAAGCTATTTTCATTGTAAGAAAGTACTGCATTTGCTCCAAGTGATAAAACATCGGTTTTATCACCCCCCCCCATCACTTGCGAGCATGTTGTGTTTATGCAGGATAAAGGTTAGTTGACCACTATAGCCATCATTGTGTCAAATATATGTTATAGGATCATGACCACAAATCAGCTTATTTCACAACCCACAACTTAATTGTCCACAATTTAAGATTGAATTAACTGTTAATAATCTTGTATCCAATTATGTTTTCCCTACAGAATCATTCCATAATAATTATTTAAACTGCATTATTTCATGTTCAGTTTAAATCTAATCAGGTACATGTTTTGTTTCCTGATATCCTTATACTTTCATTGTGGAAGTTGCTACATTTTATCCAAGCAGGGAACATAAATGCACATGGATTGCTTTTTTTGCATGTGCTTTGCATTTACAATTTGCTTTGATTGTTTTATAATGCATAGAAGAAGAAAAAAAAAATTGTATTTCAGAAACATTTCACTTTATGCTTGATTAATATATTGATCAAAAGCATGTAAATGGGGAGCAAGCTGAGGTGACAGCCTGGGTGCTTGTACACTACATGGAAGATTAGTTTTGCCACAACAATGATCCACAGGGTGTCTTAGATTAGGGGTCTTGCAAATAGAAAACCGAATTGGGAAGCAGTTGAATTAAAATGCAAATTGAAATTGGACACCAGCGGCTCCAAAATATTTGTTTTATTTGTGTCGTAATGACAAAAAAACTGAAACATGTTACAGTCAAATGGGGGATAAACAACCAGTTAACTCATAGAAAACCTTGATATCGAGTATGTTAGCCATGAAACATTTAAGAGACATTTTGAAGATCCACACATAGTCTGCGCTTCAGCAAAAAAAACTTTAAGAGTTTTGCAATTATTTTTATTGAGCAAGTTCTAATGACATTTTCCCAAAAAGAAATTTGAAAATTAAAAAAAATTAAATTGAATGTTGTCTTTGTGATGGGTTTTGTTGAGAAATGCAACGTGGTACTGACTTCTGCAACCCACAGTCTGAGCATTTTATGTAAAATGTGCAAAAAGTAAGTCACAGATGTCAAACTCTCACTTGCCCTGTGGCAAGGAAACCTTACTTATTTCCTCCTCATAAGGAGCAAAGTGGGAGATTTAGATGTACACTTGCATGTACTTATCAAATAATGACCGTCAATGCTTCCATTGTGATCGCCTCTGTTCTGGTGTGACAGTCTAACCAAACTAATTATGTTTTCAATTCAGCACGATTCAGCTTTTAATTTTTTTCTGTTGTATGATATCTACGAAGCTTTTTAAAACTCATCAATCCAGTATAGTCTTGGCCCAATCTGTCACGTGACTACGTGCTTTTTTTGAAACCATCGTAAAATGGAACAAAAGAGCTATTGTATCTTGAAGAATAATCAAATTGTGAAGATGGGTTATTAACAAGAGGGGAGAGCAGATGGAGGTATTCCAACTCCCTGTGGTTTATTCGCACATACACACACAGTTCAGTTTAAGATTAATGAACGCCACATAGTGCAAAAGCATGTAATTATCCCTGGTGCTGAGGGGTGAGGCAGGAGGTCCAGCCCGTGAGCTAAAGATTTGTGCTGTTAGTCAAGGTTGTGGTCTTTCACTGTGACCTCCCCTGGAACTGACTAAAGGTTGAGCTGACACAAACTCCGTGTCTTACAACAACACATGGTTAGGTAAGTGCCTCGGGATCAGTTTAAAGCCGACAGAAAGAGACCACTTGACATCGTTCCAGTATAAAGAAAAGACTGTAATGAACGTGCTTAGGACCCAAAAGCAGCCAGAGACGTACGGT